ACATAATTCTATCATTAAAATATCTCAAAATGAAACATATATTAATGAAATACATGAATATGATAGTATATTAACAGAAGATGAATTTGAAAAGATAATGAAAACATTTAATGTTCCACAAAAATGTATGTTATGTGGAATATCAAAGAATAATAATATATATCAATTACCATATAATATTAAAGAAATAGAAACAATTATATTCCCATTTTCATCAAAAAATAAATATTGATTAATAGCATATGTTAATAAAATTAATATAATAGGAAAAGAAAGAAAAGAATGTGTAGTACATATTAAATATGGAAATGATAAATATCCAGTGTTTATGAGAGGAATGAATAAACAAATAATGAAAGTATTAGAATTAACAAATGAACCAATAATTTATTCTATAAAAATTGATGAATGTATTGGACAATTAAAACATAATGGTTATATAACACTTTTCTTAATAGAATCTTTCTTAAAGAAAAGAAAAGAAGATGATATAACAAGACAATCAAAGAATCTGAGAGAATATATTTCAATAGAAAAAATGATAAAATCATTCAAATGTTATAAAAATTAATCTTAATTAATTTTAATAACAACAAATATCTTTTTTAAAAGTAAAATAATATGAATAAATAAAAGTACAATATGTTATAGAAGTAAAATACTTTAATGTAAATTAATTTGTTCTAATTTTTAAACTGATATTTTTAGTATGAAAATATCAATCAAATTATTTAAATTATCAAATATGTTTTCAATATAAAATTTATTCAGAATGTATATGTTAAAATTTATTATATTTTTTAAACTAACATAAATCTAAATCCATATTTATCATCATATCATATTTTGCACTAATAAAAATCTATCAAGTATTCTCTTTTCAAATTATTCTATCTTCGAACAACTGAAGTGAATATTCATTAGATTTTTCAATAATTCTTGTAAATATGAAGAAATATTAAAAAATTATTTATATTATAAAATTTTTTGAACAAAAATAATCAAAAAACAATTATGGCAAATTATTTTCTAATTGAATAATTTACCATAATTGTTTTTGATTGTATATAGAAATGTTCTATTACCATTTCTACTGTTCTTTCATCAAAAATATGATTCTTCAATTGTTTGTCATTCCTTTAATTTTTCATTAATATTGATAATTTAAATAATAATCAAATCAAAACAAATAAAAAGTAGATAATTAAATGTTAATAATTTTAATTTATATTATTCATTATTCAATGTAGATTATTTGTTTTAACATTGTATTTTCATTATTTATTAGTTTATTCTTTGATTTTAGTTGTTGAATTATGACAATTTCATTTTATCTTTTATTTGATATGGAGTAGAGTATTTAAATATATATTATTTAAATATTCATTATTTAAGTTATTATCTGATTTTAATGAGTATTAAAATTATTCTTCATTTTCTTATTTTAACGAGAAAATACAATTATTACTGTATTACTATGAGTTAATATTCTTTTTAGAATCAACCACCAAACCCTTTTTCTTTATTAATCTTATATTATCAAATATACTTGTATTCTAACAAGTAATAATAACACCTTTATAAATACCCATTCGTTTATTATCAATGATATCAC